ACTTTAGACTTTGGACACTGGATGTTGGCCGAGCCGAATGATCGTCAAGCTCCAATCGCACCCTCGAAAGACGCCAAGGATGTCGGGGCTTTGTCGGCTGTGGATTAATGATCAATAATGCTTCAGAGCAGGCGTCGTCTCAAGTGTGTCAACGGCACATTGGATATCGTGCCCGAGACCAGGAGAAAAAGAGTGATGAGCACTTGCCACATGCAATGGTGCTGGCAAGAGGTAGGTGGATTTGAAGAGCCCATGCAGGCAAGTAAGGCAAGATTGTAGTCGTCACGACTGTGCATCGGTGAGGTGCAGGATGTACCGCGAGAAAATTTCGGCTCTAGCGCAGCGATGAAGCGCGATTTACCGAAGCGCGAAGTACCACCGAATTTGGATGAGGAAGAGGAGGAGGAGGAGCAGCAGCAGCAGTGGTCTGAGGCCAAGCCGACGGGTGCGAATCATGCGAGATGTCCGCAAATCCGCCGTACCAAGGCTCTGCTGCATTTTCCTCGTGTTTGTTTGCGGAATATTCCGCATGCGTCTCAGCCGAAAATCGAGGGCCAGCAGTTCTCTGCACCAGATGCTTTTGCTCCCGGCAACTTGATTCCGCGGACATGCCGAGGCCAAGTCTTGGCAGAGCCGAATGTGTGCTCTGTCCCTCCTCTGGAGGAGGACCCAGGCTAGCGGGGTTCCATGCGCGTTGGTGTGGTTTGGTTGTTCTTTGGTGTGGTTTATGAATGGGACAGGATCATGACGGCAAGTAGCAACTTGGTCGTTTAAAGCGTGTAATTGCATCATTCTCAAGCTTCTGCAAAGGCGAATGCTAGCTTTGCATGCGCTTGTAGTTAGGGAGATGATTCACCGAACCACAACTCTCGAGAAAGCCTGCATGCGCAAGCACATGCAAGGGAAGCGGGCGAAGCGCAAGGGTTCAAACGTGCATGCAGGGAAAAAAGGATATGTAGAATAAGCCTCACTTTTCGAATGGTCGCCTAAACTTGTGAAACGCAGCCCTTCAGCAAATGCGGGAACCGTGGTAGACGAATGCCCGCATTGGGTCCAGGCATCCCTTCTGACTTGTGATTCGGGATTAATTAGCCTGTGAGCGAATCCAGCAATATCAACTTCGACTTCCGAGTTCAGTCTGCGATGTTGTTGAATCCGAAAGCCTTCTGTGTGCCAATGTGCACAGCTTGTGATAATGCTCACGTGCGACATTGCAAAGCAGATAGTCCATGCGTTACATTTTGCCACCTGCACATGAGGCTCTGAAGATTGGTGAGCAGCCAACGTTTGGGCATCGAGCGTCCCCGTCGAACAGCTTTTCTTCTCAGCTGTGATTTTTAATGCTTTCTGCCCGTAAAGAAGCTTGGGTCCTCTTCGGCTGCCAGGAACGGCTTGCAGGGTTGGAGAGTGGAGGTCGACGAGGACGTTGCGGCTTTCGGGACCCATGCCCTTCCGTTGCGCTTTTGCTCTCTGACGCATCCGAAGGACCTCTTCAACCACAGCAGTTTTCACCCGGGGAGGCGTGCACATGTGTTTCTTGGGGTCTGAGGTTAATTAAAGAAGCCATTTGGGCACGAATGTGCTGGGGTACGTCGAGCAGAGGTGGCAGGGATCAATGTTTCCCAAGCCGGTAAAGCATAGCGGAAAGGAATCATGGACAATAATGTGCAGAATAAGATTGGGACTTTTTAGGCCCATCACGCATGGTTTCCTGGCCTTCGTTGCCGCGAATGGCTTTGCCGCAGTGATTCAGCGAGCAAAACCGAAGCGCGTGCAGCCGCCGCGCCCCCGATTCTCAATGGCTCTCCCCCGACTCTGCCCCGTTTGCCCCGACTCTGCCCGACTCTCCCTGACTCCCCCCGACTCTCCCCGACTCTCCCCCGACGCTCCCCCGACTCTCCCCGACTCTCGCCCGACTCTCCTGTCTTGGCTTCCTTCTACACATGAGTGTGAGGCAGCCTGCCCGCGACTCTCCCCCCGACTCTCCCCGACTCTCCCCGACTCTTCCCCGACTCTCAACGACTCTCCCCGACCAATTTCTCGAATTGTGACCGCTCCTAGACTTATGAAAACTTGAGTTTGCAGTGCTCACCATGACAATCCCTTTGTCTTTTGAGGTTGGGCATATGAGAACCACCTTGACGAACTTGAAGAGTCGTTCGACGTCCCGCCTCAGCACCGCCGCCGACGGCAGCAGTAGTTGCATGCAATCTGCTGGCACTGGCACATCTGGAAGTTTTTGTGGCGGCTTTGGCAGTGGCTTCAGCAGCAGTTTCGGCAGCAGCTTTGGCCAGAGCGGCAGCAGCACGGATGCTGTCACGTTCGGCTTCGGAAGTCAAACAGTCACCTTTGGCAGCACCAAGACGAAGGAGTTGGCAGAGCTGCCGGACTTCACTAAGGCCGGAAAGGTACCCGTCGGACATGTTTTGGGTCATGGAAGTGGCGAATGCCATCCAGACTTGGGCGATGATATGCGAGGGCGCAAGACGCCAACGCTTTTGAATTGTTGCGTCAGTAGAAGTATTTGCGAAATTGCAGTCGGTGCCATGCACGTTCTTTGCCTTTCCGCACGGGGAGCAGTGTACAGCTGGGGCTGCAATGATGATGGGGCCCTGGGCAGAGCTCCTTCCGATGTTTCGGACGGTGGCCCGTTGGATGTGGAGCCACATCCGGTGACGATGCCAAGTGGAGTCGCAGTTCGCCATGTTTCATGTGGAGACTGCCACAGCTGTGCCTTGGATGAGAAGGGCCGGGCCTGGTTATGGGGCACATACAAGGATTCCAACGGCTACATCGGCATCGCACACAAGCGCAAGCAGGAAACGGAGGTCATGGAGAAGAGTGCAGAACCAACGCTGGGCCTGGAGGGATGCCTGCAAATTGCAAGCGGCGCTAGTCCCACGGTGGCGCTAGCATCTGCGAGTGGCCAGAAACAAGTCTTTGCTTGGGGCTCTAACGCCACTTCCATGACTGCGGAACAGATCCAGCAAGCCGTGGTGCAGGGTGCAACGGCCTTGGTTCTGCAGGCTGCAGAGCGGGAGGTCCCCAAGCCCGAGAAGCAGAAACTGCTACAGCCAAAGCACGTTCCGCTGGAAGTTGGTGCTGGGGAGCATGCTGCTTGCGGGGTGCATGCCACTGCCGAGTGCAGCTTCATATCATTCGAGGACGGTGCCGTCTTTGGTTGCGGGTTGAACGGCGATGGGCGGGTCGGACTTGGTTTTGTCAGCATGGCCGTGCAGCAGCTTCAAGAAGCGCCCGCTCTGCGAAGGGCTTCCTGGATAGGTGGTGGACGGCGCAGCAAAGCAGCACTGGTGGATGGACGCGTGTTAACGTGTAGAAACGTGGCGGAATGCGGCATTGGTTTGGGGGAGAAGGCAAGTGCGAGCTTCCGTTTTAGTTGGTCTCTCTGAGCTTGTTTGGTTCATCTTGTTGATCTTGGTAGATCCCGAGCCTCGCCAGACCACTACCCGTAAGCTAGTCATGCAGAGAACATGCAAGCTGCAGCATGTTCTGGATGCCGCATGCGTGCTTTTTTCATGGTTGCAGGACCCTCCGGTGTTGCAGCCTCGAGAACTTCAGATTCAGGGGCTTCCGAGAGTTCGAGCGTTGCGTCGTGGTGGCCATCACATGGCCAGCACAGAGGGCGGAGATCCATCGGTGTTGCGGCTTAACGCAGCTGGCAAACCCACGGGACGTGTCAAGCCCTCAAGCAGACGCGGAGCCCACCGAGCTGAGACCCGGCCAGGACGGAGCTGGGCCCGTTGGTGCGGTCTCGGCCTCTGTCAGCGATCCCTCGCAGTCGCCGAAGAGGAGTGCCACAGAGAAGGACCTGATGGCGTACAGGCTTCGGCCGATGCGGGCAAGCTCCTCGATTCCGGGACCTCTCCTGGTTTCGGAGGTGCTACCACAAGTGGCACCGCGTGTAGAGCAAGCACGACTGAGTCAGTGGTTTTCGGCTTCAGCGCAGGCACTCCTGCAAAATCAGGCGCTACTGGCGCACTTGGAAGTTTTGGCGGTGGCTTCGGCAGCGGCTTTGGCCAGAGCCTACTTGGCCGGAGCGGCAGCAGCCTGCAGGTTCCGCTATTGCCAGCACCAAGACGAAGGAGTTGGCAGAGCTGCCGGACTTCACTAAGGCCGGAAAGGTACCCGTCGGACATGTTTTTGGTCGCGGAAGTGGAGAGTGCGATCAGCTAGGTTTGGGCGATGATATGCGAGAGCGCAAGAAGCCAACGCTCTTGAAGTCTCGCGGCAGTACAAACATTTGCGGAATTGCAGTCGATGCCTTGCAGGTTCTTCGCCTTTCCGCAGTGCGAGCTGTGTACGGCTGGGGCTGCAAGGATGAAGGGGCCCCGGGCAAAGCTCCTTCCGATGGTTCGGATGGTGGCCCGCAAATGTGGGGCCACATCCGTAGACTTTGCCTTTGATGAGGGGCGTTGGGTCTGGTTGGGATGCTGCAAAGTCTTTCCTCAGGAGCGTGGCATACACGCCAGCTCCGGAGACCAGACGGATGCTAATTGGTCGCGGCATTTGTCACGGCAATGCCATGAGCAGAATTCGATCCTATATGAAATCAATGTGAGTCAAAGACCATTGGGGCGTCCTGGCTTCGGTTTCGCTTTTCGAGTTTAGGGTGTCTGGGTCAAGGTTGAAGCTTGCTCGGAGTAATCTTGTTTTGTGTTTGGAAATTCAGGGTTTCCAAACCCTGAAGGTTCAGGTTAACACAACGGAACAGATCCGTGTTGCTGTGTGGAGTTCGTCCATGCTGCCCGCAACGTTTGCGCAACCAGTTGGTTCAAATAATCCCTCTTCTGTGGCCTTCGTACCATGTGGCTTGACTCTTGTGCTTCTTCTTTTCAATACCACGCGCTTACACATGATCCTGTCACCTCTATTTCGGAACCCGAGCAGTAACTGTTGGAACGGCTGCAGATGCAGCGGTTGCCAGCACCAAGACGAGAGGGTTGAAGAGTTACCCGACTGCACTACGACCGGAAAGCTACCAGTCGGATATGCTTGTGTTCGTTTAAGCGGCGGATGCGATGAGGGCAGGAAGCCAACTCGGTGCCATGCACGTTCTTTGCCTTTCCACAGGGGGAGCTTTGTACAGCTGGCATGTGCTTTGACGAGGGAGTTCGCAGAGGGGGACCTGCCGGTTTGATGGTCTTTCGAGCCAGTGGCATGGGCGCCAGCTTGCCGGATTTCCGGCCGATGTGGATCATGCTAGAAGCGCAGAAGGAACAGAAGATGCAAGCTTGATCAGATGAGGGTTCCATTGCCCACTGGGGCCATTGAGAGCCAATTCTTCATGGACGCTTCAATCCTCAACGCTTACTTTGCATTTGCTTTCGATGCGTTCTATGTCTTTGTCCTTGCCATCAACAAGCTACTTCATGATGGAATTGCCAGCAGCACCATCCGGGTCCGAGTGCTGCCAAAAGAAGTGCTGAAGTGCTGCGAGCGAGCTTCACCAAATTGTCGGGGGAGGTGAGCTTCGATGAAGGCGGAGAGCGAATTGGAACCCATGCGCTGGTGAGCTTTCGGCCCCAAGCTTTTGTTGCAGCCTTCTTAAGTGCTTCCACCTCGAGCTTCTCTTTTCCAGGTGACTTGCTTTGGATGGCTCGGAAGGCCCCACAGGCCCCACGCCCCCGGCGCAACTCTAAGCCTGCGACCCGGGCTTCTACCAGGAGCAATCCAGGCAGTGCCAAGCATGCCGAAAGGGCAGAATGTGCCCAGGACCACTGCGCACTACCCGGAGAATGCGACCTGTCGACCTTGCAGCCAGACTGATTTGCTGCCAAGTCTTCTGGTGCCTCCCTTGGCCACCCTCCTGTACCTGCTCAGTATCTCTGGGCTGGATCCAAGCCGAGTCCGTGTCCTGTTTAACGGCTTTCGAAATAGCCTGGAAGAGCAAGTCTCGGCAAGCGAGGCTTGAACACACTGACGACGTTCTCCATTGCAGGGCAGCTGGTGATGTCGGTTCAATTCATTGGGCTCGATCCGAGAGCTATCAATCCAGTGGGAAGATCCAGTGAAGGCGGTCTTGGGCTTTGCCAAGATCTTGTGTCTGTTGCTCTTTGTTATGGCCTGCTCCCTTGGCGGTCCTGCCGAGACTTGTGCACCTCCTTTGTTCTCGGCAGTTTCTGTGCAATGTCGATGCACGTGAGGGATATGGTCGGTTAATGATGCTTCGGATAATCATGACGATGGTGGTGATGAGTATGCTGGCACAGGGGATGATATGGATGGTTATGAAGATGAGAATGACCACCGGCGCTGGTTATCATCATAAGTTCTGATCGAAAGCTTGCAGACATTGCGTCTCTTTCTAAGTTTCGTCTTTCTCTAGTCTTTTCCTTTTCTTCTGTTTCATGTTCACCGTTTCTCCCTTCATCGCATCCTCTCTCTCTTTGGGCTCTTGTTGGCTTGCTTGGGCCTTGGGACAGATGCTGACCCCCACAGACGCCTGGGTTCTTGTTTCCATCGACTGATGCCTGCTTCTTGCTTCTGTCCACCCCTGCAACTGTAGACTTTGATCTTGTCAAGCTCCGCCTACGTTCTGAAAAGATCTGAACGCGAGCAGCCTCTCAAGATTCAGGCTACCGGGTATGACAGCTCGTGATATGGCATGCTTCAAGTAGTAAGAGTAGCACTTGTAGCCTTGAAAGCTCTCGGATCTTTTGGAGATGACATCTTACTACATAACAGACATCTGTTGAGGCCGCGAGACGCCCCAAAAGGCCCCCCCCCCCTTCCCGAAACCCGCTTAAAAGTCCCA